AGAACCGGATGGGTAGACTAGGCGGCATGGTTCGGTGGGCTCGCAGCGTAGAGCGAAGCCGAACGGTACTTTGGGCAGGGCTCGACTCGGAGGAAGCGTTCCGCTAGTGTTGGCACTAACAGGAACGTGTTCAGTGATGGGTGATGTTTTCTTATCCGTGAACGGCCTCATAAGTAGATTCAAGAAACGACGAGCCTGCTGCTGCACGGCTCCCAGAGCTCCCTCAAGCATGCGGCGAGAGCGATAGCTCGCATCCGCCCAGTATGTCAACACAGCCTGCTGTGGGGTTGGATCCTGTATCACCACTTGTGGCGTGTACTGCAGTCTACCACAGTTCTCCATCGTCCAGTCCATGACCTGCGTGCGCATGTCAGGGTACTGAAAACCGAGGCCGTAGAGTTCGTAGTTGGCCTCCTTTAGACCGCGGACAAGACAGTCTTCATGAGTCTCCATGAAGCCGCGGTTTAGTTGGCTAGAGAGAAGTGTGTCCAGATTCTTGTATAGTGCATCCTCTGTGTACTTGGATGTTGAAAGCACCAAGTACTCGTCTACCGCTTGGTTATGTCGAGGGTATATCATGTTCGCGATGCCGTGGAATCCGACGTAGACAGCTGCGAATGATGATGCGAGGTAGATGGCGCATGTCAGTAGAATCGCGACGCGCGGAAAGGCGCGTTGGAGAATGGGGACGTATGCAGGGTCGGAGTTTGTTGATTCGGATGCAGTGCAACGGCCCTCACGTTGTGACTGACTCCGAATAGGCGCCTCGTATTCTGGTCGAGATGGCATGGTGCTGGTTTCCACACTGGTGGATGGCGTCGTAGTGGATGCTGGTCGTTGAGCCTTGTAGTAGTTAGCTGCTATGGTGTAGGTGCAGCGGCGTTATGAGCACGCGTTTGCGGAAGTGAGATCGGTGGAATTTCTCTTCGCAGGTGCGGTTGAGGGGTGGGCCAATCGCGAATCTTAAAGTAGGCGTGGGGGAGCGTATTTGAGTACCACGGATGAGGTCGCCAGGGACCAAAGACCGTGCTTGACCAGGCAGCACTTGGCTGGTATACAGTGACTTGCCTAGAAGAGGATGTGAAAAAGGGCTGTCACCATTCGTTTGGGGGCGCTCGCAGAAATTCACGGTGAGTAGACTGGGGAGTGAAGACAATAGCTCGACCGCGTGCTGTTGCCTGGTGAAGACTGGAAGGCGCGATATGGTCCCAATGTCTGCATGACGAAAGGACCCACTCCAGGACCGTACTGAGCGTTTGCTGCTAAACACCAGACCGACGCGACACAATGTAATACTGTGTTCAAGGTGTGCGCTTCTGATTTGAAGGTCAGACGCCGTGTCATGGCTTCAGGATATGTTTTAGGACTACTTGCTACTTCTTTCTCTGCGGCCTCTTTCGTGGCGCCTGCCCGATATCTTCTATGTCTATCGCAACTTCCACATTTTCTGCTTTGATCTCATCAACTTCAGCCACCACCTTCTCTTCTTTCACCACCGCCTCTTCGCTGCCATTGGGAGCTTCTACTTTCACAACGGCTTCTTTCTTGACTTTCGTGCTCTTAGCTACGACTGCTGAAGGACAGAGACCTCTCTCCGCCAACTTGCAATCGCCACACTTCCTGCCCACAGGCAGGCATATCGTCTGCCCAAAGCCCACGAGCAGGTTATTGATGTCATGCCACTTGTCTTTTGGTAGCCATGACTCCAGCGCTGCACGCGTCTGTTCTGGCTGCTGAGTCTTGTGCCAGCCCCATAGGTTGGTGATGCGGTGGACGTGGACGTCGACACCAATGCCCTCTGTTTTGCCCCAAGCTGCGCTCATCGTCAGGTACCCCATCTTAGGTCCGACACCCGGTAGCGACACCAGCCCTTCGATAGTATCTGGAATTTCGCCGTCGAATTTGTCTCTCAATATCTCGGCCGTTTGCTTGATGTACTTGGTCTTGAGGTTGTGGAAGCCGACTTTGTTGATGAACGCGTTCAGTTCGGGGGGTTCTAAGGCGAGGACCGATTCGAGGTTGAAGCCCTGCACTATGTTAGCTGGGCATAGCCATATAGCTTCGGGTCACATACCCCAGGCATCCTCTCCTGCATGCCTCGCATGACAGGCGCTAAGACAGTGTCTTTGGTCTGGCTGCTCAGCATCAAAGCTATGAGCGTCTGAAACCGTCGATCCCGAGGCGACCTGATGTCCTTCGCCAGGCTCTCGCAACCCATAGTATCCACCGGTGCGAGGTTCTCGTTCCGCATTTCTCTCGTTAGGGTATATATCTCCTCCCAATTCGCAGGTGGCTCCATCGTGACAGTTCCATCGCTGGTCTTGATCTTCTTCGCAGGCGCACGACGCGCTTTCTTGACCTTGGCGACTTTCTTCGGGGACGCGATTGCAGTGATTGATGTCTCCTCTACCTCCTTCTTCACAACGATTGGCATATCCTGGCCTCTTTTCCTCTTCATAGGCATTCGTCGCGTCTCGCCATCCGAGGCGGAGTCCGCTGGCGCAGAACTGAGGTCTGAATCTGATCCAGCATTCTCGTCGCTACCTAGTTCGCGTTTGACTGGAGCTGGCGCATTGGTCGCGCTTCGTGTCTGACGTAACGCTCGTTGCGTGCGACTCGCTGCGACAACGCGGGACGCGTCTCGGGAAACTCGTGATGTTCGCATTGGATGATCAATTGGAATGCGCAAACAGCATGCAATGAGCGAATGATCTTTGCGACAGATTATCTGAGCTCGCGGGCTGATGCTCAGCTCATAGTGATGACGAAGACGCGGCCCCTGGAAGCGGAAGCAGCCAATCAGCGCGTTTCGGATGTAATGGGCTTCCGCGCTGGCACGTGAGAACAAGCTCCCGCACATGACGTCAATTCCAGATTTCGATTGAAAGCAGATTTGCGAGAATCCACGTCTCTACAATTTACCTAATCGGGAAACTGTCGTCTGGACTGAGATGGCGCCTGCTATAGTTATGATTCAACTTGCTCCCATTGGATTCTTATGGCTGGATTGACATCTCTAGAACCAAGTTTTCAAAGGCCAAACCCAGGGTATCTTTGTCGCTTTCAACATGGTTTTTATCTCCACCTTGTGATGCAGCATACACAGTACATGGCCTCCTATAGCCCGGGAAAGTCTGAAGTATGTAGGCTTTCAAATAAGTAACATCAGTCTCCTGCAGGTTGACTAGACTTCCCGTGCGGATGGTTGCGCCGAACAGATGGGCCGTGCATCAAGCAGCTAATTTGGCTCATGTGGAGACGTCACGACTTCATACGACAACACCAGCTGTCGTTCCCACCTTGTGTCACCCATTGGCTCAACCTCTTGAAAATTACTACACCCAAACAGCAAATCTTTCGTGTATGCTACATTTTCCACGGCAATAATTGCCACACCCGCAACACAGAATGCTACGCGAGCAAATGAAAGAGGTGGACCTACTGATTCTGGGCGCTGGATGGACGTCCACGTTCCTGATTCCGCAACTGGAGGACACTGATATTACGTATGCTGCAACTACCACTACTGGAAGAGACAACACGATCCCGTTCAAGTTCGACCCCGAATCTGGTGATGCGGAGCCATACAAGCGCCTGCCAGCAGCGCAAACCGTAGTCATCACTTTTCCATTGGTGGGGCACTCGCAGTCAAAGACCATCGTGGGTCTCTATCGCTCCGTGCACGGCGCAAAGAACAATTGGGTGCAGCTCGGATCCACGGGCATCTTCAATAAACTACCCAATGATTGGAGCGCTGATGACGCGCCATACGATAAAGAGGATAAGCGAGCTATCGCGGAAGACGAATTGCTAGCGCTCCACGGCTGTGTGCTGAATTTATCGGGTCTATACGGCGGCGAGCGCGTCCCCGCGAAATGGCTGCCTCGCCTCGGCCAGTCCAAAGACGATGTGGCTAAGCGAGGCGCTGTGCACTTCATCCACGGCGAAGATGTCGCAAGAGCGATAATCGCAACTCATCGGAAGTTTACCCCGGGAAAGCGCTGGATCATTGCTGATATGCGCGTGTACGACTGGTTCGACCTCATCATGAGCTTCAGCTCCATGACCGAGTCATCTATGTCCAAGGAGGAGGTGGAGACGCGCCAGGAGTTCGCTAAATGGGTGGGGGAGCTCATGGAAGAGCAGAATATCCGTGCCTTGCCGCGTGATATGGGTGCCTTGGGCCGGAAGCTGGACTCGAGGGGATTTTGGCACCATCACGGGTTGTGGCCCCGACACAAGCGGTTAGCATAGTGGCTCGGCTCGAGGCAATTTTGAGAAGAGTCACAGAGCAATCGTCTGTGCGAGGTCGCGCGTAATGGACATCGACTCGATAGGCTTGTTCTTGCGGTCTAAGGTGACTAATGGATGCCTTGGAGGACGCTTCCATGTATCCTCAGGTAATTACAATGCTCTCTACTGGTTTGATTGCGCCTATGTGCTCGGCCTCCAACACCGCTGCCACATCCATAGCATACAGTCATGAAAACACTTCAAAATGAACCAAGGTTATGATATATCGCAGTCCGAACATCTTCTTTCCTGCGCTGCAATAAATAGCTGATATCCCCTTCCGTCTCTCCTAATATCTCAAACTCTCAGACCAAATTACTTTCACCATCACAACTTTCAAAAGTATCTTGAACTACCAAACTCTCCACCCACCCACACACCAAACACCCTCCACATACACCAACATGTCTCACTCCACCTACACCGCAACCCAACACCAGCGCATGTGGAGTACAAGCTTGCACCAGTGGATCAACATCTCCGCCCCAAGGCCAAACATTCAACCCCAGCAAATGAGCATGCCACAACAGCTCCCTCCTCCCGGCGTCGCTGCCACTAACCGCTTTCCTGCTGGTTTCGTCCCCTACCAGCAATACCCTTCTCACATGCCGGGTAGGTCACAACCCGGCGCCGTGAGCCCTCCTGGCGTCGCTGCCGCTAATTGCTTTCCTGCTGGTTTCGCCCCCAACCAGCAATACCTTTCTCACATGCCGGGTAGGTCACAACCCGGCGCCGTGAATGCTCCTGGCGTCGCTGCTACTAACTGCTCTTCTTCTGCTTTCGTCCCAAAGCCTATGTTTCAGCATGCTAGGAGGCACTTTACGCCTAGGTTTCAGCAGCCGAATGGCATCATTGATGCTACTACCAATGGTCAGTATTTCGACCTGACACGGGATGATCACGGGGAGGTGCCTCCAACATGGCCAACGACTCCCTCCGTCCCCGTTTCCTCCGCGCCTACCAAGAGGAAGAGACAGTCAGGGGAGGAAGACGAGGTACCAAAGGTACCAAAGAAGAGAGGCCGACCTCCCAAGGCCAAGCCCGTGGTGGAGGTACAGGTACCAAAGAAAAGGGGACGACCCCCCAAGGCTAAGCCCGTGGTCGTAGTTCAGGTACCAACTCCTGACACCACCACGACCACCAACTCCTCAGTAGAGGACAAATTCGCGTTCGAAGCCACCCCGTTTGCCGGCTTCAACGAGTATACCATCGACCAACGCGTCGAGGCAGGAACCCCCTGCCGCCTACAAGAGCGTGGGCAAGACAACGCCGAAGCTGTAGAAACCGTTGACAACCTCCCGGCCTTCTCTTTCCCCGCGTATTCAGCGGCTGAGAGTATATGGGAGGACGCCCCGATGGTCCAAGAACCTTGGATCAGGGATGTGGCGTCCGCTGAGAACCTCACGGCCTTCTTTTCCTCGGCGTATCCAGCGGTTGACAGTATGTGGGCGGACCCCCCGCTACCGCAAGAACCTGAGATCGTGGAGCAGAATTCCGCTGGGGAAATCATGGATGCCATGTCCGCTGCAGCTGCGGCGGATGATGGGGCTGCGAATGCGGCAATAGATGACTTCGTGTGCGACTGGAACGGGAATAATCCGGAAGATATGATATTTTGAATAGCGGTTGAGGTCTTATACCTCTAATGTCAGGTAGTTATACGGAATAAGTAGTAATAGTCTTAGAAGAAGACGAATGCATCTGATGCCCCCCCCCCCAATGCCATGAAACTCCACGCTATGCTTGTATGCTATAAAGGTGCCGCGAACGGCTAACATGAAAGAAAAAGAAAACAACACCCATATCACAATGGTGATACACGAAGTCTACTTCCCATCTTATCAACAATTACCCGTCTAAACCTCGATATTCTCAAACGGATCCCGATCCGGCGGCAATCCCCTGTAAATCACACTGCCACTCGCATCCAACCGCGCATTCACACTCGTGATCCACACGCGCTTGGTAAACGCACTAGTACGCTGAATCTCGTCCTTAGCAACACCCAGGTCGTCGTGCGGAATCCAAACAGCGGGCTGGATGGCGCGGGTGGCTGGATGTTGGAAAGAGCGCTTGATGAGCTTTTGGCGGGCCTCAGGCTCGATGTCGGCGAGCTCGTCGTCGACTTCGTCGAAAAGGTTGCCAGCGGGAAGGACTTGCGCTTCTGCGTCGCGGATGGGCTTTGCGACGTCGTCGAGACCCTTCTTGAGTGCGTTGGTCATAATGTCTAGAGGGTCCTTGCGCTTCTTGTGGTGGGACTGCGAGCGCGAACTGCGACGGGAGCGTTGTGAGCGGTCAGCCCAGCTTGAGTTGCGCGCACGATTGTCGGGTCGAGGTGACTGTCCGTAGCCGGCGGGTGGCATGTTACCATCCAGATTGCTGAGCTCGTATGACCCAGGGCCATGGGCTGCCTCGCGTTCCTTCCTTTCCTCGAGGCGGTTTTGTTCGTCTAGGTGGGCTCGTTCGCGCTCCTCGGCTGTCCGCTGTGCGTCTTCCTGAGACATAAGACCTTGGTGTTCGTCCTCCCGTTCCCACTTGCTGGCCTGTGCCCGCTGCCACTCTTCGTCTCGCAGGACCGCCTCGTCTTCGAATGTGATTGGCAAGTACGTGAAAAGAGGCCCGAACGCTCTGTTCAGCACGACTTGGTAAAGCACAGTGAAGACCATAATGATGATCATGGTAATAGCCTGAGGGAAACACGATTGCCTCCCCTGCTCGTCTTCCTGTAGGAAGAACAACCCGATCATGCAGAGCTCGAGGAAGTAAAGGCCAGTGAACAGCTGGTTGACTGCTTTGGGGAAGATAAGACCGTTGGTTTCGGCCTTGGCGTAGCTGACGTAGATCATCTGGTACCTGTAGGTAAACCAGAAGAGACTGAAGGTAATCAACATCATGATTAGGATCAAGGGCGCGACGACTGAGTAGATGAGACCTGGGCATCGTTAGTTTATGTAAACGTTTATCTCGATAGACAAACTTACCAATGGCGGCAAAGTTGGTATAGACCGGGATCATGGTACCCCAGTTGATACCCGGCCTTTGCAACACCCTTGAAACCTTCTCGCGCGGTGTGGTGTCCAAGAAGCGCAGAAAGATGATAACAACGACGGCACCAATTTGCAGCAGAGTACCGGAACTGATACTAAGCGCTTGCAGAATCATGTAAGAGAAGAAGTAGTTGGCGGCCTTAGGGAGGTTCTGCGCCAATGTCTGGGGGACACTGAGTGGATCGTTGAGCAGATCGTCGATGGTCGAAGTGATACCGGTAGAGATGGAAACAACCAGGAACAGTTGGACAAATACGAAGGCGAAGTAGAAGTTCTGCACAAGCAACTCGCGTTCGCCAAATGTCGTCGTACCGGTAAGACCAGCCAGGAAGCGCAGGAGTAGGGGCAGAATAGCGAAGAGAATGGCCAAGAAGGCTGGTGGCAACACACCCTGAATCAAACTAACGACCCAGTCGGGAGCATCATTGATGAAACCAAGCCATGGCAATGTTTCGGTCAGAGAGTCGACTTGGGACAGAGCTCCTGTAAAACTGACGGGGATACCCCAGAAGATGATAAGTCCGACGATGAGTAGAATGACTCCAAACATGCGTAGGTAGCGCTCCCACCACTTCATGGTCAAGTTGTCCCAGATGACGTAGTTGGGGTTAACCTCGACGGTTCGTGGGTTCATTTGCCGGGGAATGTGGTGACTCAATGACTGACAGGCCATGTGTGCAGCAACCTGGTGGTTAAATTGAATAAAGGCCGAGTTCATCAGCGGGAAGCGCTCCGGGTGAGCCTGATCGTCGGCAATCTCGGCGTTGAGGCGGGCAAGCTCCTTACGGCAATGGTAGATGGTGTCCACCTTCTTGCCAATCAGAGGCAGAGACGGCCACCACGAGAAGTTCAAGATGGGCAGACGCATCGTTTCTCTGTCCTTTGGCTTCATGTATTTTCTCCAGAGAGCGTCCTCGCCATCCTCTTCCATAGATTCGTCGTACAAGCCTGACAGGTCGTACTTGATCTTACTGGCATCCTTGACTTCTAATGGTAGCGCTTCTCCCTCTTTCACGAATGGACTTGGGCTTATGAAGTCACCCTGACCGACGTACATGGCCTTGAGCTTGTTGAGTGGGTGCTTCCATGCAGGTTGTACAGGCTTGTCTTCTTTGGTGTCCGTCTCGGCTGCGGGTGCTTTCAAGTTCGTCTGAGGAGAGTTGGGCTCTGTCACGGTACCTTCAGAATCGTACTTCTCTTTTGTGGCCAATGGAGTATGGGTGTCGCTGCTAGCGGCCCTTTGGTGGTAGTCCGCAGATGTGGGTGACGATGCTGGAACCTCATCGCTGCCGTCGAAACTTGGCTGTGCTTCCTCAGGGTTCCGCGCTTGACCAGCCTGACGGGATTTTCCGCCGAAAACTCCTCGCATTCCACCATAGACGTTCTTGTTGAAGCGATCCACACCCTGGCCGACATCGCGGAAGCCTTTGCCGACAGCGTGCATGCCTTCTCCTAAAAAGGGCAATGGGTTCATGTTCACGCCGCGCTTGCGATCAGGTGAAGTCGACCGCGAAGAAGAGGATGATGATGATGCAGACTCTGCCAGGACCTTTTGGAGTTGTTGCTCGATCTCGTGGGGGTTACCGGCGTCCACACCTTGTTCGTGAGTCTCCTGGTTGATTGCGTGGTTCTGCATCGCCTCGTCGTGCTTCTTTTCCGCCTTAGACTTCTTCTTTCCAGCTTCCTTGGCGGCCTTCTCCTCCAGCTTCTTGTGCTTCTTGGTGCATGTGATGATGAGATTTGTTTCGGCCGCTTCGAGGCTCCGTGCGATCTTGGTTCGGTCGTTGACCTTGTCCATAAGATCGTCGTAGTTGCGGTTGATCCAGATGTCTTTGATGCCGCCGGGGAAGACATCGTAGAGGGCGTCGAGCGCAGGAACCGTGAGCCACTTCTCAGGGATGCTTTGCACGAGAATAGTGGTGGCAGATGCTCGGATACGATGCTCGGGCCTGGTAAGAACAGTCTGCCTGAGGCGCACGAATTGCCTCAGCGCCAAGTAGAAATTGAAGCACACCCAGCATACGACCGATACGGCAATGATGCAGTGCGCCCACAGACGATGTCTCTTGTTCGGAAAGGCGACATTGGGCCAGGCGAAGGAGTCCAAGCCCGAGACACCGGGCTCGTCGCCCTTTCGGTTTATGGGCAGGAGGACAGGCAGGATAATGAGTGCCATGGGTATGAAGATGCGGAGCAGGAGCTGCAGGTATTGGAGGAAGAGGTAGCCATCGACACCGGCGACGCGGATGAGCTCCTTGTCGCTGATGGTGAAGACATTGCGGAATGAGTCGATGGCGGTCGTGGGCGCTGCGATGCGCTTGGCTACGGGAACGAAGGCGGTCTTGTAGTAGCTGGCAATGGTTAGCACATGGGGGTATGTAGGCAGGGAAGCGACGTCGCATACTATATCTTGTGGAACAGACTCTGTCGCGCCGCCGCCTTGTCGGCCTGGTCTGCATCATCTACGGTCTTCTTCTTGGTGACTCCCTTGTGCAGCTTCCAGTTGCCACTCAGAATCAAGAAAACAACAATCTGTATGCCGAAGATGGCGGCGGCAGTGGACAGCGAAGCGGCGAAGTTCTCGATGCTCTGGTTCCGCCGCGACTCTGGCGATGGCTTGTTGGGGTCGGACATGGCTCAGAGCGGTGCAGGTCGCGTATGCGGTCAAGTTGTGAATCGGAACCCCTGTCTTAAGCGCAGATGGCCATGGAAGAAGGGCAGGGAGCAGCAGCCGCTGTTATTTGCGGTTGCAGATAATTATTAGGGTAGTAGAGTCGCACAGAGGGTGTGAATGAGAACGTCAAAGAGAGGGTTCATTATGAACTTGGAGGTGACTGGCATGGCGCACACGGCGACGTGTTTCAACCTCGCATTCCCTGATACGCGGTCAGTCGGGGGCTTGGCGGCGTCACTGGCGCTGGTGGGCGCGCTACTTTGCCAACCGCCCGCCGTTTAAGCCAAACAACCGCTGGCCTGGTCTTTAATCTGAAACTACAGACAGCCGTTTGGCCTAGGCCCTTTGTCTTTGAGGCTGACAGCGACACAGTGATTTTGCTGCGCGCAGCAGAACAACACCTTTGTCAACACTGTCTGTCGTCCGCGACCCGTCTCTGTGGGTAAGGAGCATTAAGATTGAGGCACATGCATGGATCCGATCTGAGCATCCCTCCCCGTACTCGATGACGTTCTACTACCAGGAATCCGCTCCGTATTGCCGTATTAGACTGCGCACGCGCCAGCCTGTTCCCACCTTCTATGAAGAGCTACGCGCCAGCGCCACACTGAGGCGCACGCCGAGCCCTTGACTCAATTGGCCGAACTCTCAAACACTCACGCCACATGTGCAGATCACACAAGCCCATAGCTTGCAATATTCTGAAGACTTCCAGTATTCGTCTTGACACTTGCGCCTTTTATTTTGTCTTAGTGTGTGTACATCTGTATTTGACTACCTTTCACGGCGTGACCTCATTACCCAACAGCCTCCCAAGCTCCTCCGCAATCGCCAACGTCTTCTCCTCGCTCAACTTATTTCCAATCACCTGAACAGCGACTGGCGCCCCGTGATAGGC